GTGTTGTCGTGTTGTCGTGTTGTTGTGTTGCCATGTTGCCATGTTTTTGTCCTTTAGGGGTGCCAGTTGGTTATGTTGTTGAGTGGCATCAATGGTGGTGTTGGTGATGTTGTTGTTGACAGCGTCAATTTGTTGTCTTTGGTAGTAGCTGGCCCCAAATAGCTTGCTGTTCAGTGTTGTTGATACTATCATTGTGGTGAATATGAGTGTTGCTGTTGAAATWCTGCTGTGGATTGGACTGTTGCTGGAGATATACTGTTGCTTGTTAGTGATGCTGAGCGTCACTGATAGTGTTCCTGATGGGTGTTGTCGATTTGTTGTTGTTGTTGTTGTTGTTGTCGTTGATAGTGTGTTGATTTGTTGTCCTTGTTGTGGTCCTTTGTAGCTGGTGTCAAAAGGAGCTTGCTGAGTAGTGTTGCAGATACTGTTCCTGGATATAAACTGTTGCTGTATAGTGTTGCTGATGAGTGGTGTTTTGACTGTTGCTTATTAGTGTCAATGGGGGGGGGAGTAGATGTTGGTTGTCAGAACAAGAAGTATTTCCACTGTGATAATGATAGCTTCAACACATATTTGTGAGGACTCTTCTGTGTTCGACCATCAACAACAAGTTGCCTTGCTACTATCAGCATCGTGAAGGAGCAGTATTGGTGCAACATTGGATAGGAGTATTTTAGGTCAATATGTTCATTAGGTCAATATGTTCATGAAGGAATTAATTTCTGGTATGTCAACTGATATCAAGACAAAATTCCATAGAAAAAATGGCGCAGTTGTACAAGATTTTCTTGTGATGTCAGTAGGCGCGCTCAACATATTTTACTCAGGAGAGAAGATGTAGCCCAAAATGTAGTACTRGTTTGTACATCTGCTGTCCAAGCCTAGTATACAATATTAACCTCATGGACTAAAAGAGGCACAAACCTAGACTACTGGGAAGGAGAATGCTCCTACCTAGCTGCTCTGAGGGGCAGCGCCTCCCTCCAAGGAGGTTGTATGGAGGAGTGACAAATTAATACACAGGAGTATTGGGGTATATTGATGACAGTGAGTGCAGTGAGTGCAGTAATCATTCTTACTACAGAAGTAATTGTCAGTGACAGCACCTCTTAGTACTGGTAGGAAAGGGTTCATAGGCAAGTTTATTWAAGGCAATACAATCAGGGTCTTGCTTACAAGGAGAAAGGACTTGGGGAGTATGGGAACTGAGAACAAGTTGTTTGCGATATCTCTTCTTGGAGAACAAGGCATCATGAACAAGATTATCAATGGCAAGGCAATGAGGATGCTGTTTAGAAGGGGAGGCATGATTAAACATGATTACAGAGACTGAGAGGGTTGGTTGGGGGCACTTGAGGAACAAAGCTGCTGAGAGAACTTGTACTTGGAGATTTCAAACTGAGTATGGGGGGCAAGAAATCCAAGCATGGGTCATAAGAATAGGTTTGAGTCTGTGTCTTCCAGCAACACACCAGATGCTGGAAGCAACTTAGAATGAAGTTGGTAGGTTGGGGCTTTAGTTTGTGTTGTTCTGGTGGGATGGATACACGCTTAGCACAGAAGGAGTGTGTTGCAATGAAATTTTCAGCTACTTCACCAAACAAAGAAGCTGCCAATGCTATATCTAAGAGCAGCTGGGGTCCTCTGGGACTGGCATTTAGATCTAAAAGAAGAACTAATGTGAGACTTGAGCTTAGGTTGGTGTTGTCATTGTCCAACACAAACATCCAAAAAAACAACAGGCAGCATCATCTTGACTGGAAATACTGGAACTGGTGCATGGGCATCATGACTGGAAACATCTTCTTATCAGTAAATAATACTGGATCTGCATGGTGGAGATGCTGGAKAATCCTGAAACTGAGGGTGTAGCATAAAAATCAGGCAGTATTCCTCAAAGGAAAGGTCTTTGTGGAATACTGGGGGCTGGGGATGAGGTTCACAAATGTTGGGAACAAAAATGTCAAGGCCAGAAGATACCATATCATCTTTGGTAGTAGTAACAATGGTTGGGTCCAGAAAAGCAAGCCTAGAGTTGTTGTGCATCAAGATATCCAAGATGAATGAGCAGTGTGTTTCAAAAGGAAAGACTGGGTTGGATACTTGTTTATTGGACTGGTTGGATTGCTTGAAGAAGGGCTGTAGTAGTAGTAGTAGTAGTAGTAGTAGTAGTAGTAGTAGTAGTAGTAGTAGTTGTTGTTGTTGTTGTTGTTATTGTTTTTCCACATGGATACGGATACATGCATGTCGGAAACAACACCAATAGTATCTACATCGTCACTGATGGTGTAAATAATACTGGTACTGGAACATGGAGCTGAGGCCAGGGAGTATTCTTCAAACTGAGTAAGATGGTGTTGCATCTACTCCAGACATTGTTCTTCAAAGGAAAGGTCTTGGTTGAATAGTAGTACTGGGGGCTTGGGAGCTTGTTCATGGATGGAAGAAACAACACTAGTAGTAGTATCTGGAGGACCGGAAGCAATGGTCGACTGGAGGAGCAGGGGAAGGATCCAGCTGAGGAAAACTGCTACCAGCTGGGGACTTGGGAGGAGGAAAGTTGTTGATTGTATCAGAATCATCTTGGTTACATTGCTTCATTAAACAAGCAGGCAAGGGAAGCAGATTTCCCCCTTCCGAAGGGGGTGTCACCAATGTCGGAAGCATACGAATCAGTAGGAAATCTAGGTAATAATTTTTAGAACCGAAGTGTAAATTCGTGMGTTGAAAAAATTCATGTCGAAAATTATCTATTGAACATGATTATATTGGTAAATTTGGTTGCTCTAGTATCGCTTTAACCAAAAAGTGTAATAATTTGAAAATGTGCTTCGTTAGCATTGTCTCTATATTTTACTGCTTGCATACATGCGTTGTGAGCGTTGCGATAGAAGTAGCTCCACGACAAATCAAATATAGAGAAATAATGCATGGCTTAAGCTCACCATTATAATGTTTATATTTCGCCATGAGACATGCTCCGCGTATGGAAAGGTTGCAAGCGGAACATTGGAGTGCAATTCGTGAAGCCGTCCATGCTATCTAGTTTTCGTTTTCTTCCATCCTGATTTTTGAAGAATGTTGTACTTGAATCGTTYGATTGAGGATTTTTGGCCGCTTTCGAATGCCGGTTGAAGTCCCGAATCATCATCGCAACTTTTTGGCGTATCTCCACCCTGTTCGCCATAAGAACCCAGCAAGTCCGCTTTGYATCCCAAGAGAAGAACCTCCCGTTCCTGTTTTCTATTTCCTCCACAATTGACCAAGCAATCTCTCTTTTCCCTGCTTGGTTCGACCTGGCGTGCTCATCTTTTTTGGATTCTATCAAGTTTTTGAATCGACCATTTCCAGGGTGAGCAAGACACGAACCGGCCCGTCGAAAAAGGACATCATTCAACCCAGGACACTCGCATACGTTGSCATACGCGCTCGGGTCTTTTTCTATCAATTTATGCATCTTCAGCCATTGGATATGATTTTTTACCTTGACCATKCCGGTGTCRGTTGMAGGAAGCTGGCCTACTGGAATTCCATAACCCATCAATTTGTATTGCATTTCTAAACTTGTGCCTTAGATCAATAATGAGGATCCAAAATTAATCAAAATGGTAAGTAGTTTTCCCGTGAGAATCATGCGTTTTCCATATGCTTCTGCTTATGCAAGAAACACCCTATTCGCATCTATATGATCTCATATAGAAAATCTACGTACCATGATGAAACAGGATTCGAGATCGCATGATATCGCCAAATGCAATCACAYAAAATGCTCGAAGGATGCGATAGATGGGTTTGTCTGGATAGCAAAGATGTATGGAGATGACTCGTACGGRAATTGAGTCTATCACATGCCTCCCGTTCGGAAGCACCACGGGCTTGATTCCCGGACTTCCCGGAAACCGAATAGATTTACCATCAAAGAGAGATTCTGTGTTACACCATGCTATCAATATGATCCCTTTCCTCTGGGTTTCAACGCAATCGTGCGCTGCTACGTGAGCAAAATAMAAATACAGTTTTACCTAAGGATCCAAAGCGAACGGAAGAGACGACGACAAAAGAACAGAGGCAACGGGAAGAAAATGTCTGAGAAAAAGAGTGAAACCCAATTCAATTATGATTTCTCTGCTTCCTTCAAAGCTGGAACAAATGWAGAAACAGATCAGACTTCTAATGCTCTATTAATCAATTGGCAACAAAGCCGCTTACCCGCGTTTCGGGTGGATACGAAAAGCAACCAGATAAAGCAACCACTACCCTTCGACCACTTCGGTCGCGGAAGGGCAAGAGTTGAACGTTCCCTCCTCGAAGAGCAGCCGCTTCCTCGTTCACAAAAAAATCAGCCTTGAGGTGTTCCCTTAGGGCCCGCGGGCCAAACAAATGGAGCAGATAGTCTACATGGACAATAAATCTGTCAGCAGCCTTCACCGGATCGAAGAGATCGCATCGCAGAAATTTCAAGCGATAGTCACGGTCGTTGACGAAGGTCGTTGGTAAGTATCGGGCTTGCTCGTATGCGTGCTGAAAGTCGTTTTCTCTCGAGGCTAGCAGTATAGCTTCCACCTCTTCGTCCATTCTCGACAGAGACTCTCTGATCAGTTCAGGGGTCTCTTCCGGAGAGAGACTGCGCACGCCATGTACTTCCTCGCGTAGATCGTTCCGGTCTTCGAATTTAAGGCGCAAAAGCGAAGCACTAAGAAGGTTGTCGATTGCTTTATCTTCCTCGGTATTTCGGAGGTTGTCAAATGCTCCGTCCATGTCTCCGTCGGAATCATAAAATGATTGTCCTCTTGGCCCCGCCATGGTAGCGGAGAATACAGAGTAACTCTTGATGGCACCTGGGTTTTTTCTCGCTTCTCCGTTTTTCTATTKAACCTCCTTGACCATAAAAACTACGCCCGTCATTTCTTTTGCGATGGGACTATTGCAGTAACTGGAAAGAGAACCTAGAAATTCGGGACGAACTTGTTAGCTAATG